TAATTTTTTTTTCCCAAATGAATATACTCATAGTCATAACTCATAATGGAACGAACACAGAGTTGGACGTTGGTGTATGAAAATACTCATAGGCATAATAATACAACCATAGTTCCCACGTGATGTATATTCATGTATGAATATACACATATTCACATTTAAATACACCAATAGATAATGGTGTAATGTATATTCTGAGTAAGAGTAGATTCATAGGCACATTCGGATAAATTCACGGATCTCATATAACGTATATTCATGTATGAATACACTCACATGCACATAAGTGAATACAACAATAGTACTCATGCGTGCATTTTGAAGCCGGTTACTACAATTTGAAGTTGTAAGAATAATAATTAGGGATGTTCATCGACAATTGGAGTAAATGCTGTCTAAAGTAAGCAATGACTAAAAACGGTTGTTTAGAGAATGGTTTGCATTAAATGCTAAACAAAGTATGTAATAGTTCATTTTCTTCTTAATTTTTTCTTCAGAATACTAATGATGAAAATTAATCGGTTGATAATTGCATTAAATACAAACAAACAACATATAGTTAGATAATAATTCGTTGATAATTGATAATGTACGTAATATATTAACGACTTTAGAATACTTATGTTCTTCTTCTCCGCCACTTTCGTAACCTAGTTTACTCTCCGACGATTGATCCAATCACCATCGTTGTGTTCATAGCCGCCTTTGTGTTAGCTTTCATGTGGTTAACCTCTCAATCCTTTCACTAGAATCCAATAGAACGCCAGGTTTATCTGGAGACCCTACAAAGTTTTTTCAGAGATGTGTTGATTTGTACAACCGATCCAACAAAGGAGCTGCCGATTAGAGTGGTGAACACGGGATTATCTGTGTACTGGCAATTTGAGGAGGTGTCGGAGAAGATCATGGCGTGTAATTTGAAATTTCACAAATATTACAAAAATGCCCTAGAACTTACAAATTAGTTGTGAAATTAGCCAAAAATTTCAAAATTATTACAAAATATCACCGTTTTTAATGATTTTTTACTAAAACCATTGACTGATTAAGATCCATCCTCAAAATACTCAACTTTTTTTTGATACTTACATGATTAATCCCCATATATATCAATGGTCTTAGTGCATTTCTATTATAGGATGCGTTTGGTACGCAAACTGCGTGAGATTAGACGAGACAAAAATAAATAATCCCATGTTTGGGGTGTCATGGGACAAAAAATGAGATGGGACAACATGGGACAAAAGTAAGATTTCATGGGACTATTCTTGAGTTTTTTTGTTCCATCAAAAAAGGTGAACAACATGGGACTAAATTTGAGATTACAATATTAGCCTTGTTATTTGATATCAGATGCAAACCTAATTCCATCGCATCCTCTTTCTTCATCTTCCACAACTTATCGATTCCAGCCTCCATTCTCGAATCCTCTACTCCACGAGCCCGAACTCGATTCCAACCTCATTTTAGGTACGATTTCTCCTCAATCTTCCATGGTTATCGATTTCTCCTCCATCTTCATTTCCATGGTTATCGATCGACTCTCTTAACAATCTATTATCGATCGATTTCTCTTAATTAATAACGTAGTAGGAGGAATTATTGATTGGTTAGATACTAGTATTAGTAATGGGTTATAATGGATTTCGATGAAATGACGCAAATCAATGCGTGACCGTCGAAGCTCCCGAGATTTTGGAGGAGTATCTAAAGGTTAGATACTAGTAATTATAATGGGTTATGCATAATGCCTTTTTGTTGCTTTTCTTAATAATTGTTTGTTTGTTTTTTGTCGTAGAAACATCCCAACAAAAACAACCACGACTAATAAGCCATTCCCGGCTTACGAGCGATTGAAGTTGGTGTTTGTGAAAGATCGAGTAATGGGAAACATGGCCGAATCAGCTACATACACACTCGATAATATGAATATAGAAAACAATGAAGAATTTGCAACTGAAGTTGATGTTCCTCCCTTTCCTAGTCCTTCAGATACAACTTCTCATTCTTCCATTCCTCTAAGTGAAGGAGAAGGAACAAATAAAAAGAGAAAAAAGACAAACCGAGTTATCTAAGCTAGTGGAAGAAACCAATGATGAAATCCATGAAGCAACCAATCAAATGAAAAAGTTGGTTTCGGTCATCTCGGATTCTACAACCGAAATGGATGGCTTGAGCGATGAGTTGAAACGACCTGGGCTTGGTGTGATGGAAATCATTCGAATGGGTAAGTACTGTGGGGACAAACCATCCCAATATCGTTTTTGGAAGAGTTTGGATGATAACATCAAAATAGAATTTGTTAAGTCAATTTACGATGAAGACAAATAATATGTCTTAGATGATGGTGAAAATAATTGTTGCTTTGTTTGGTTTTTGGTACACTTGACATGTTTTAGGAGATTGTGAAAACAATTGTTCTTTTGTGATATTTTTGGTACATTTGACATGTGGTCTTGGAATGTTAAACTTCTGACGATGATGTGACAAATGTTATTTACAATTGTTGTGTTTAAACTTTTTATATTATGTACGTATTTATAATTTGTGGTATGACAAATATTATTTACACGTGGTCTAGAAATGTTAAAAAAAATATTGATATCATAGATTAAATAATTTAAATATGTTTTGGTTGATTTGTTGTTATTTACAATGATTATATGATATAAAATAACATTGAACAACATTTTAAGGATGATATGGTCATTTTAACAGTTTTATCGTGTACTGTCCTAATCGTACCAAACATAGAACAAACAATTAGTCATGTCCTATTATGTCTTGTCCCATCCCATCCTGTCTCGTTCAGTCTGTGTACCAAACACTACCTTAATGTATGTAAAAATTAGTTATTTAATAAAAATTAAATTTTAAATTATTTATTTGCTGAATTTTTATATGTAATCTTCACCTTTTTTTTAAATAAATACTCTACAAGGGGTAACAATGACAAGTTACTGACATCAAATATAAAATATTTAAATATCATATTTAATTTATTTAAAATACCAAAAATAGAAACTTGTTCAATAAAAAAATCAATTATCATTTAATGAATTTGGACAATATTTATGGTCTTTTTTTTATGTATATTTTAAAAAATAATACAAAAATCACTTTTTTATTGTATTTTTAAATTATAACAATTAAATTAATTGCAATATTTAAAAAAAATATTGTTTCATACTATTTTTTTTTTTGTCAAAAACTATAATTTAATTAATATATCGATTAACTTTATAGTCTGTTTGTTTCATATGTATTTGATTCACAATATGAAACTTTTTAATTTTATTTTTTGTTTTACAAGTACATTAAAAAAATGTTTAAATTGAACAAATATATGTTAATCAATGTCTGAATCCGAGTAGTAAATAAAAAAGTTATGTAAAATAACATATGATATATCAGTTCTCAAGGTTATTATATTTTTATAGGTTTTTAAATGAAACCCCCTGCAATAAATAATAAATGTATATATTTTAATTAAAATATATAATTAAAAACAAATAAAATTTTCCACACAGATATTATTTAGTCTTAAAAGTTAAAACCACTTTTTTGCCATAAATTTTAAATTCTTTTTTTCTTTTTTGCGGTTGGGAAAGTCAGGAAGCAACTACCATATCAGCTCATCTACTAACAATTATTTATTATAATTTTTATTATTAAAATATTAATTAATAAAAACAAAGTGAAGCGATATTTTGTGTTAAAATTAACGCCGTAAATAAAAATTTATTATAAACTAAAATAAAATTCAATTGTAAAATAAAAAAATACATATAAAAGAAAGTACGATTCATGTATAAGAACATTAGAGGATGCTCGGGATTTCACGAGATTTCATAAGATTGTATAAAATAATATTTTAAAAAATATTAAAAATATTTGTTTTGTAATAATCGATTAATAAAAATGTAATTTAATTATTTTTGTAATTATTTATAATTTTTTTTTGTAAATAATGAAATACATATCCATTCTAAATCCTACCAACCAAATACATCAATAATTTCAAATTCATTCTGATCTAAATTCTCCAAATCCAAATCCTTAAAAAAAATCTGCAAACCAAACAAACCCTAAAAGAGAATAATGCTTGACCCTATAAATTTTTTAGTTTCATGGGATACCATACCTAGAAAAACACGAAACTGCCGAATCTAAAAAACCTGGCACAAACCTTGCCTGAAAAACCATCGGCATAGTGAACCTAAAGCTCGGTTCAAGCTAGACCGAAACGCTCGATCGAGCCAAAATATAGACAGCAGGCCTAACCCGAAAAAGCCTAGCGTGAAAAAGCCCCTTTTCAACCTCAAAACCTATTGAGACCTTAAAAAGCTTTGACCTTTTTCATTGGTCACTAAATACGTTTTTGGAAGATTCAGATTCAAACCCCAAAAAGCCGAATCTTTATGCATCTCTATCCATACCCCTTAAGATAGGTATGTTCGAGTCCTTTGGGGATTCTACCCGCTAAGTCGAGTCTTGTAAGGCTACTGGATTTTCTTGACCGTTTTTCAGGATCCCTGAAATTAGTCGAGGAGCACACAAGTTGACCTGAAAATTCACATTCAAAATAAAATAAAAATTGATGGGTCTGTTTTCTAGGTCTTTTGAGATTAGTCGAAGTAAATGGGTGTTTGAGATTGCTTATAACAACAACTTATTAACTTATTCTGATGTGACATCAGTAATAAACACTTTTGAATGTTTGGATAAACAACTTATATCAGTGTCAAACCGATAATAAAAAGCTTTTAAAAAAGTTAAACCCTTATAACTTATAATAAATTGATAAATATTTTAAAAAAAAAAGCTATCCCTAATACCCCCAAGTATGAACACATGTATTTTATGTTCATGAAAACGAAAACAATCCGTTTTATTTATTTGAGATCACGTGGAATTTTCTTCTTCTCTAGAAGGAAAGTGGTCATCACCAACACAATCGATAAGAACACAATTGTTCTTCAAGATTCTGGTCATCGGAAATGGGAATCAAATCCATAATTTCAGCTCTGTTTCTTCTTCAAGCAATCATCATCAATGGCGCCATAGCTCAATCTCCAGATTTCGGCATTTATAAGTGCAGAAACAACACCAATTTCACCACCCTTACTTACCCAAAAACCCTAGAAGCTGCACTCGCTTCCCTCACTGGAAACGTCGCAATCCACGGTGGTTTTTATCATTCCTCCGCCGGAAACAATACCGATACACCGGTTAACGCCGTCGCGTTGTGTCGAGGTGATATCGGACCGCAAGACTGCGAGGATTGTGTGAAGAGTTCGATCCCGTCGCTCCGGCGGAATTGCCCTAACCAGAAGCAAGCGGCGGCGTGGTACACGAATTGTATGGTGCGTTACTCCGATCATAACATTCTCGGAGTTATCGATAATTGGACATTTTATGAGTTATGGAACACGGCGATCGTTTCCGATGTCGATGAGTTCAATAAGGCTCTGAATAATTTGGCAACTAGGTTACAACCGGAAGCTGCCGGAGGAGATTCGTTTCGGAAGATGGCGGTCGGAAATATAACTTTTGGGCCGGATTCGTGGACGATCTACGGGATGATGCAATGTACTCCTGATTTATCCAGAGACCAGTGCAGAGAATGTTTGAATGATACAATCACCGGAATCCATAGCTGTTGCAGCGGCAGCGTCGCAGCAAGGGTGTTTTATCCGAATTGCTTCTTTCGGTACTCCAATGAACATTTCTACCACGATCCTCCGCTGATCTCCGCCCTATCGCCGCCGTCTAAGTTCACTTCAGGTACTGATTTAACTACTATTCATCTCATATTTCCGTAACCATTGTTAAAACACTTCGATCTGATCAATTTTCATCAAATCCGTCCGGATAATCCCAAATTCAACTTCAATTTCAGTTTCAATTTCAATTTCGATATCAATTAGGTTATAAATCGAGTTTGAATCCGATCGAATGCTTCCTAATCAGGCAAAAAAAGCAACACCGTTTATGTGGTGGTTCCGGTAATCTGTGTTTCTTTGGGGCTAATTGCAATCGGAATCTGGTTCTTCCTTACAAAAACACGGCCAAACGACGCCGTATCAAAGAAAGAGTCCATCAGCAGCTTTTCTTCTCTACTTGCAGAACAGAAACCGATTTCGACAAATGATTCTTCAGGTATTTTTCTATGATAAACCGAAACTAAACTGACGATCAATTGGGTCGCACGAATCGGCAATTTTGGATCACGATCGAAGGTGTTTTTTGTCCAAAATTGACGAATCTTGCAACCCGTAACTGTCGTTTTGTGTATTTTCGCAAAAATGATGGTTTCTTTGTAACGAAACAACAAAAAGGTTGGTTCGAAAAGCGATTCCTATATGAATTTTTCGTGATTTTGATATGATTTTGTGTTTTGTTTAGTTGAAATGGAGATTGTAACGATACAGTCTTTGCAATATGATTTGCTGACGATCGAAGTTGCGACAAACTACTTTTCTCCAAAAAACAAGATCGGTAGAGGCGGGTTTGGTCTCGTCTATAAGGTACGAAGATTTTTTTGCTATGAATGTTGGTATTGGAGTCAGATATGGATCGTGAAATGGGTTTACAGTAAGTCGGGGATTTTAACGGAAACAACGTCTATCTCTCGGGATGGACGGAAGGTCTGGTTACACCATAACCTCCCCAGACCCAGCTTCGTGTTGGATTTATTGGGTTCGTTTAGTTTGGTTTGGTTTTGTCTGGTTTTTGTCATAAAACCAATCCAAATGAAACAAACCCAGTATATCCATTTCTGACCACATTTTCCACAGGACCCTCCTATATCTTTATATGTGTTGATCGCCTTCTTATACAAGAAGTAGGTATACTTAATGCATTAGCTACAACACTGCACGGGTCAATACGCACATCGCCTAGCATCCATTGTTTACGACCAACTGGATGTGGGTCGGAGAGGTGGGATGTATGCAAATATGTCCTCTATCCCAGATAGTAGGACCCACCAGGAGGTGGATCAGAGGGGCGGAATGTATACAAATATATCCTCTATCCCACTATTTCTGTGAAGATTCTTGGAATTCGTGAATAAGTGTCAGACATTCGTATTTTAGTTTGTTCTAGAATAAAAATCTGCTTTCCGATTTTACCCTTAATTATGAGATGCAAAAATTCATTATGCTCTTTGTTATTAAGACATTATTGTCATTTAGTTAATTAAAAAGTGTAATAATTATATATTTCAAAAACTATGTGTCTTTTCCATCATCAAAATTTTAATTTGGGACGATTGTTGAAACGCATTTAGTTTCCTACAACCAGTCGGAGTTAAAACCTGAATCTTTCGGTATGATTTTGCATGCTATACGAGTTAATTATCGATTAAATACGCAGGGTGTTCTTCCAAAGGGGCAAGAAGTAGCGGTGAAGAGACTATCGGAAACATCCGGGCAAGGCGTAGAAGAATTTGTAAACGAAGCTGTTTTAGTGGCGAAGCTTCAACACCGAAATCTCGTTAGGCTTTTAGGGTTTTGCCATGAAGCGAAGGAGAAGATCCTCATTTACGAATATGTTCCGAATAAAAGTCTAGACTACTTTTTGTTCGGTTAGTCCCAGATACACTATTCGTGATTTTGGTTAAATCTTGACTCGCTTTATTTCGTATCTGTATTGATTAAGCTGTATGTTTGACTGATCAATGTAGATCCCGTTAAGCATGGACATTTGGATTGGACGACACGGTGGAAAATAGTTGGAGGGATTACGAGAGGAATGCTTTATCTACACGAAGATTCACGGTTACGGATCATCCATCGAGATCTCAAAGCTAGTAATATCTTACTAGATCAGGACATGAATGCAAAAATCTCGGATTTTGGATTGGCTAGGATTTTTGGAGTAGATCAAACGCTCGGAAACACGAAGAAAATTGCCGGAACTCTGTAAGTTCTCATCGTTCGTTTATCCTTGTAGAATGAATTATGTCTATATATTTTGGTGAACGATTTGTGGAAACAGCAGTTCTACTTTGGCGAGATATTGCAATTATTGTTGTGTGAATGTGTGATTATAGATCTTAATCATTTACGGAGAATACGACCTCTAATCTCGAGACGTTTTGCTTGCAGTGGATATATGGCACCGGAGTATGCAATGCATGGTCATTTCTCGGTAAAATCAGACGTGTTCAGCTTCGGTGTCATAGTTCTTGAGGTTGTTAGTGGTCGGAGAAACTCTAGCTTCTATCAACGAGATGATGTCGGGGACCTCCTACTCTTTGTAAGTAAACTCACTGATTTTCGCTACAAATTCCAACATGTAGTCCCGTATCGGGAGGTCTAAAACAGTCACTAATTGTATTTTCATGATGCAACGGGGATCACTTGATAGGGTCTCCAAGTGTTTCCTTTTTTTTAAGTGTTATATATATAGATGTATATATAGGCGAAGGAACGTGTGAGAAGGAGAGTTAAAGTGAGAAGCGTAAGAAGGGATCTGGACCCTTGATCGCCTTTAATCTCGAACCCACCTATGAATCGTGCTTGATATGGCGGTGCATTCTCATCCTAATGTGCATCCAATGATCCAAGGGTGAAGATCATTTCTTACGCTTTCCCCCTTAATTCTCCTTCTCACTGGAACTCAACCTTGTGTGTGTATATATATGTATGGGGAAAAAGCTCACACTCTCACCTTTGGTGGGGCTGTTGGGATTAGAGATGCACAGCCCGAAACCTGGCCCGAAAGCCCAGGCCGGCCTTAAAAAGCCTGATGAGGCCAACTTTTAAAGACCCGTTACAGCTTGACAAAGTCCAGAGAAGCCCGATTCTTTTGACCTGAAAGCCTGGTCTGGCTCAAAAATCCTGGCCTTTTTATGCTTACTGAAAAACGAGCTTGAAAGGTCAGGGCCAAGCCCGAAAAGTTGAAATGTACCGGTAACCTGCGGGGCCATTGAGCCTCTGACAAGTGTTTCCTTCGTTTGTCATCTTCACTTTGCGGGTTTAGTCTCATGATCATTCAATCTTTCAGATCATAAAATTGAACCCGCAAAATAAAATGGCTTGAACAAATTAATGGATTCATGAGCCTAATTTATCATACTTGACGTAGGCTTGGAAAAAGTGGATGAGCGGAAGCCCGTTGGAGCTATTGGACCCGAGAATTGCGGAATCTTATTCGAGAAACGAAGTGATCAGGTGCATCAACATCGGGTTATTATGTGTGCAAGAAGAGGCAGATGCAAGGCCTTCCATGGCTTCAATTCAGAACATGCTCAATAACAACTCGATTACTTTACCAACACCAAGCAAACCTCCGTATTTTCTTTCCAAAGCGCTCATGTTAGATATCTCTGGGGATGTCGATAAGTCAATTCCCATGGTTAATTCCGAAGACGAATCATCGATCACCAAAATGCATCCTCGGTAACCAATGAAATCGTAGTTATTTCATGTACAAATGTAACGATGGTCAAACATAATACCCATTTTTTCTTTCGGGTTTTTGATCCGCGTGTTTGGGTTCGACCCCGGTTGGTAACGTAAAATGCAACTACAAAGAGGAATCGATTATTTTTACCCGTTTACCGTCCATCATGGGAAAGGAAAATTGTTGTGTCCCGAAATCAGTATTTGTTGTATATAAATATTATATATATATATAAAACTACAATTAACATAAATAATATTAACCAATATGCTTCTATATGTTTCTTTATAAAAGTGTATGTGGTAAAACTATATTTGGATTAATTGATTTGTTTAAAATGACATTTTAGTTGTTGTAAAAGGTTACATATTTTCTTTTGATATTTAGGGGCTGTTTATCAAAAACTCAATAAGTGCTTATCAGTAAAATTTAACACTAAAACTTACTTATCGGGTAAGATTTTAGTCCATTAAAACAACACCATATGCAATAATTTACCCGATAAGCTCTTATCGTGGTAAGAGTTGTTGTCTTCACTTACCCGGTAAGAGTTGTTGTCTTCACTTACCCGGTAAGAGTTGTCTTCACTTACCGGGTAAGACTTTTGTTCCTTGTCTCGCTATTACCGAGTAAGATTCTTGGTTCTTGTCACATTCATCTGATAAAGTAATGTAACATGGTAAGCGCTTACCTGAGTAAGTGTTCGATAAACGGCCCCTTTAGGGGCCGTTTACCAAATACTTACCCGGGCTTGTGTTTATCAAGTCATGTTACCTCACCGGATGAATATGGTAAGGACAAAAATTATTACCCGGTAAGAGCGAGACAAGGACCATGAATTTTACCCGGTAAGTGAGGCCGACAGACTCTTACCACGGTAAACGCTTATCGGGTAAATTGTTGCATACGATGTCGTTTTGGTGGGCTAAAATCTTACCCGGTACGTAAATAATAGTGTTAAATTCAACCAGTAAGCACTTATCAGGTAAGTGTTTGGTAAACGGCCCCTTAGTATTGCGGTATAAATTTTACCCCAAAGAATATCTTATCAACAAATCGTAACAAACAAAAGAAAAATAGTTCATCTATCGGGAATACGAGTCCTTCATAGATACATCCTTCGCCGCATATCATCGTCCATATCTTGATGTACTTTTCGAATGGTTAGGATCGCTCTTATTTGAAATACGCTCTTTCAGTAGGGGTTTTCGGGACCTGTGATCGTATGTATGTAAAAAGCAGGTTCTGAAGGGACTACAAGGGTTAGAGAGGAGCTACCAAGCATGAGAACGACGGAACCCATGGTGGGCCTGTCGTAATCATTTTCTTGAACGCATAATAGACCAATGTGGATGCATCTAATCATGTCATGTTGGGAAACCGAACCACCTCTAAGCCTTGGATCGATTAAACTTGAAGCCGTGCCATTTCTCCAACGTTTCCATACCTGAACATGTATAACTGAAAGTTATGTCGTAAGAAATAAAAAACGTATTTTTAGCGTCATTTAGGTAGTCCCTTTATTGTAGATACCCAATAATTCGTACAAACTTACAAACCCAGTTTTCAAGTATTGTTTCATATATGAAACAACATGTGTAAAAATGAAGGGTTTATATAGTGTTGTTTCGTATGTGAAACGTTAATGGCTGTTTTTTTCCACACACAAAACTGTATAAAACATTTCACATATAAAACAACACTATATAAACACTGAATTTTCACATGTTGTTTCATATATGAAACAACACATGAAAAGAAGTTTATATAATTTAGCGGGTTTATAAATACTGTATGTCTGTGACTGAAAGTTATGTCATGAGAAATAAAAATGTATTTTTAATGTCATTTACTTAGAGTCCTCTTATTTTACAATTCTAATAATAATTCTTACAAACTCACAAATCAGTTTCAAATGTTATTTTATAAATGATACAGTACATGTGAGAATACAGTGTTTATACAAGCTTGTCATATGTTGAACATTGAAGATTGTTACTTTTTTCCACACAAAAACAATCATGAACGTTTCACATGTGAAACAACACTGTATAAACACTGCATTTTCACAAACATGTTGTTTCATATATGAAACAACAATGAACTGGTTTGTATGTTTCTATGATTTATGAAATTTGTAAATAATTGTACGTCTACAACCGAAAGTTATATCATGAGAAATAAAAATGTATGCTTAACGTCATTTATGTATGTCATATACCAACACTCACATGGCTAAGAAGATCCTCTACCACGACTCCGTTTTGGAAGCTATGGTTTTTGCGACCCGTTACGATTTCGAGTACTAAGACGCCAAAACTGAAGACGTCCGATTTAACGGAATATTGTCCATGCAATGCATACTCCGGTGCCATGTATCCACTGGTATGACAAGAATGCGTGTTATTCATGTCGACAAAGACGTTTATGTTGAGAAAATCTTTTTGCAACATAAATTTTGTGACGCCCTTTCGTCAAATACTTACGTTTTCGTGAAATATCATAGTGACCGTTTCAGCATTTTATCGATAGATAGTTGCACATAAAATCCGTTTTTGGAAGGAAAACTTACTAGGTTCCGACAATTTGACAAGTGTTGGCTTGGGATTCTTCAGGGGTGAACAATCTTGCCATACCAAAATCTGCAATTTTGGGATTCATTTTGGCATCCAACAAAACGTTACTTGCTTTCAGATCTCGATGAATTATTTTTAATCGCGAATCCTCATGTAGATACAGAAGTCCCCTTGCAATACCCCCGATTATTTTGTATCGTCTTTCCCAATCAAGAGTTGCATGCTTCGTTGGATCTAAAATATTTAAGATCAAATTGAATTCATATATATATATATATATATATATATATATAGACATAATCATTTACAAACCTAATAAAAACTTACAAACCATTTTTCATGTATTATTTCACATATGAAACAACATGTATGAAAATGCAGTGTTTATATGACGTTGTTTCATATATCTGCCGGGATTGTGAAAAAAAAAGTACCGAACATGCAGATGAAAGACTGCATTTTCACATGTGAAACACATCAAAGCTTTTAGCAAGTTTGTTTGTAAAACAAGGGGACCATACATATACATACATATTATATACTTAAAAAAAACGTATACATACATATATACATAAGGTTGAGTTCACGTGAGACCAAGGGTTTTTCGTGAGACCCTTAATATCAATTTATGTTCATTGATCAACTTTATAAGCTAATGATCTAATGGTCTAAAGTTGCACGGTCACAATTTTATGATCATTGAAAAGTCTCGTGGCAATTTTGTGATTATGAATGTTCAGATTGTAGATCTAATCAAAGTGTTGAGAATTGGTCTGATGGGTCTCAAGAAAAACCTTTGGTCTCACATGAGCCCAAGTCTACATATCATATACATACATATATATATAGAGAGAGAGAGGGGGGGGGGAGGGAGGTTCAAATGATAATAGTAACAAAATAGAAGACAAAAACGTGTAAAATCACATGTGATTTTGCACGTGATTTTAGTGTAAAATTACATGTGATTCTACACGTGATTTTAGTGTAAAATCACATGTAATTCGACCGTTTTCTTATTCTCCTATTTAGTTATTCTTCTTGTATAAAGCCGACTATATATATCGTATTTTTTTTTGATATTATGATCTCAAAAATAGTAAACATACCAAATATAAACTGGTCTAGACTTGCATTTTGTACAAACTCATACACCAAAAGTCGTTCACGCCCTTCGAGACTATACCCAAGGAGGCGCACCAAATTCCGGTGTTGAAGCCTAGCAAGTAACAAGACCTCGTTCTTGAATTCTAGTTCTCCTTGTCCCGAATCGCTCGACAACCTCTTCACTGCTATTTCTTTTTCGTCTTGTAACGTACCCTGATTTTTGTTAAAGAACTTAACGATTTTCCAAATCTAGAAAAATGGTTTTCCGTTGCAAATATCACGTTGCAAAACATTAATTTTTCTTGTAGTATATTGTTTACCTTATAAACCACGCCAAATCCACCTTCTCCAAGCTTATTGTTCTTCGAGAAGTCATTTGTTGCTGCTCGAATGACACCAAAGCTATATTGCAACGATTTGATCGTGGTGATTTCATCGGTATCTCCATGATGATGAACTAGAATAATCGTCATAGATATTAAATAACTGAAAATCGTAATGCAGTAGCAAGAAACTACGTAAAAATAAAAGAAAGATGAACTCGTACCTGCTGAAGGTCGTTTTCCCAATTTTCTTTTTCTTCTTATGAAGATGTAAACGAGAACCACAACCACTATCACAACACTAATAACGGTTGCAACGACAATTGCAACAATAGTCGTGTTATTACTACTATTACCTGAGAATCTCATTGAAAATCCGTCATAAATATTTTGCAACGACATAACTGAAAGATCATTTGTTTCTATACGAATTGAGATTCTAAATCCGTAAGATTGTTCTTTTCATACAAACGGATTTGCAACCGAACAACGGGTTGCAAAACATCGTTAGAAATTTGCTCATATGCTAATCTATGGAATAAAAATCCAAATTGGACATGTGAATACGGGATGTATTTTATTGATAGCTTACCGAGTAAAAGTTCGTGAAAGTCTGTGGTCATTTATATGGTTTATAATTTATTGCTATTTTTGTTTCTGAATTAATTTCTATCTTTAAAGTACAAGAGAGCAAAACAGTAAAAAATTGTAGACTATAGGGACCAAAACAACAATTAATTTATAAATTACAAGAATAAAAATAAAAATAACAATAAATTATAATTCATAGGGATAAAAACAACAATTTCTAAACTATAGGGACCAAAAATGTAATTTACTTTTATTCGTAATATCAAAATGATGCATTAAAAAATAGGATTAAATGCAAGAAATAACAACATACTTTCATAAAATTTCTTATTATAGCATACTATTTTTGTTTTTCTTTATTACAATAATGTACTTTCAAATTATTTTTTATTAACACAACGTATTTTAAAAAATCTACCCATTATAGCAATGGGTAACTTGTTACCTTTTAAACCGGTTAAACCCTTGACTTTTTTTGCTTGTGTTGCTTTAATGAGGTGATATGGATGACACATCATTTTGATAACTTGGTTAAAATAAAAATAAAAACCTATTTCAAATTATTATTAGTGATTTTCATTTTCTATTGCTATGATTTAAAAAAAGATTTAATTTTTTTTTATTTTTTTTATTAAGTTGCATGCAATTTAAATATTTTAGAGTAAAATATTTCTTAAATAAATATGCTACATTATTTTTGAGATATATTTTGTTTGTAAAAAAAATAACACTTCTTATTTTATGTTGTTAAAAAAAATACATATCTTTTAAAGTTCTCTCTAAAATGTTAACGAATGTGTTTTATAATTTTTTAATATTGTTATATTAATAAATAATTCAAAAAAATTTAATTAAATTTAATATATTTATACGTCAAGTATAAATTTTTGAACAAATATAATATTTTTTTGGTAAAAATAAAAAAAACAATTCTTACTTTCTTCTTTCAAAAAACACATATTTTTTTAAAAATATTAGCGAGATATGTTGTGTTTTACTAGTTTTATTGATATAGGTATATTAATGAATAATTTAAAATTTTCTTAATTCATTTAATATATTTATTAAATATAACATGTAAAATATCTAAATATTAAAATTAAAAGTACATTGTTTAATAAGAATTAGTATATGTTATAATAAAATAATTTTGAAAGTACAATGTTGTAATAAAAAAGTCATATCACCATAGTACATGTGGACAACCTATGTCGACAATGAGGTGACATGAAAACCTGGTATAATGGGTAAATTTAAATCAAAAGGTTATCCTATGCTATAATGAGTAAATTTTTTAAAAGTACAATATTCTAGTAAAAAATAGTTTGAAAGTATATTGCTTTAATAAAAAAATTAAAAATACAATACTATAATAAAGAAATTTATAAAAATAAATTGTTATTTTATGTATTTTACCCTAAAAAAATATGGTTATGATAAGCATGAATGAGTAACGGAGCATAAACTAACATACCTTGAGGTGGTGACGGTGGTGGTGGTGCCGGCACAGGCACCGGCGAAGCCTTTACCGGCGGCGGTGAAAGAACCACAGCAGAGTTATAGAATCGTAAATTTGAATACCGAAGGTTGCAACTACGATACAGAATTCGTACATCTAGACTAGCATTACAACAATTTGGAATCGAGTTAGTTGCAGTCTCTAAGCAATTATAGCATTGATCCTTTGATAAATCCGGTGTACACTGCATAAGTCCATAGATCGTCATAAATCCGGGCCCCGGCGTCTGGCCGGAGGCGAATTTCCGGTGCGAATCTCCTCCGGCAGCTTCAGTTCTTAATCGATCCATCAACGGTCTCAGATCACGATATAACTCCTCAACGTTCGCGAAATTGTCCACAGAAAAAATCATTCCACCAGTACCGACCATATTTCCTAAAATCGTCTCGCCGGTATACCTCAACATACAATCGTCGTACCATACCGTCGCTCCTTTCCGGTTAGGGCAAAGCTGTGTTGCGTTAATATTTGAAACATTTATGCAGCTCCGGCAGGTATCTAGCTCGACGTCGCCTCTACACAAAGCGATTGCGTTGACTGTGTCTGATGATTCACCGGCCGATCCGTTGAAGAAACCGGAAGCGGCGGTGTTGGTGGCGGAGGTGAGGGATGAGACGACGGAACCGAGATTCGTTTGGTAAGTACTGTTTGTTGTGTAATTGTCGCCTTCACATTGATGAAATAAAAATCGAGATTGAGATTGGGAAATTAGGGTTAACAGATTGAAACACAAAAACAGAATCGATTTGGGGGTGATTGAAATCATGGTGAACAACTTTTCTTCGATTCAGTGATCCGCCCTGAACATGGATATGAACAGAAGCAAAATCTTTGACTTTTAGCTTAACTTTGACTTTGACTTTGACATTTGTTTATCAAATAAATTAAATATTGATTATTGACGTGTTCTTGAGGGAGACACAACTAATTGACGACAAAACGTAGGATTTGGTGTTGAATTTGGGAGAAATTACTAAAATACCCATCACATCATTTATATTTCCTTTATAACCATCTTTTGAATTTATTGACGGGTTTAGTCGGAAATTACGCAAGTGATATTATCCAGCTTACGTAATCCATTTTTCGGATTAAAAAGATGAAGAAAAATGGGCATTACACAAGTTGCGTAAGTGAATATGAGATGTCTACGTAGGCATTACGTAAGTATCACTTACATAACTTCGTAATATCCATTTTTTCCTCATTATTTCAATCTGAAAAGTGGATTATGCAAGTTGGGTAAAACTTTTACGACGTTTGAAGAAAAGCTACCAAGTAAAGAAACATATTGAACCCATTTTTGGCCCAACATCAACGTCTTTATGAACGCATATTAGATGACAAGTGAGCGTTTGCTAATTGTGGTTTATTTGGTAATGTTTAACGGTCTTTTTTCCATTTCGGTATTCAACAAATTTTACCGACTTTTAAATCTTGATATATTATCTTTTATCGGGAATAAGTTTCAGTATAATACCCTCTGTTAACTGTTATTATGTACTATCTTTTTCCCAGTCAAGAATCGCACACTTTATTGGATCTAAAAAATTTAAGATCAAGTGCTTTACAATAAAATCAAAAGTCTATAAGATCGTATTATTTCAAAAAGACAAACTAAGATGCATCTTTTATAAACTCACATAATCATTTAGACCTCTTGAAGTTGAACCCTAAAAAGCGAACCGAATTTCACGGTTGGAGCCATGCAAGTAACAAGACCTCGTCCTGGAACGCTACTTTGCCTTGGTCCGAAACCCTCGACGAGCTCTTGACTTCTTGTCTATTTGTAACTTACCTTGAGAAATTTAATAAACAAAAAACGAAGTTATTTGAAATTCTAAATAATTGAAATTATTATTATTGTTATTATTCTCACAATCCCACCAATAAAAATAATTGAAATTAGATGCTTAGGATTAGAGATGGCTAAATGGGCCCGGCCCGTAACTGCCGGAGGACCGGAACCGGGACCAGAACCGGCCCGGGACCGGTATAGACCGGTTGTGGACCGCCGGTTATGAACCAGTTATGGATTTTAACATTTTCTAGGACCGAGACCGGAACCGGTTATAGGACCGGACCGGCCCGGCCCGGTCAACAAAAGTCAACGTGTATATATATATATAACAAAACATATTTTTAAACGTATATATATAACAAAACATATTTTTAAACGTATTTATAATAAAAGTATTTATATAAAACATATTAAAAATAACATATTACAAACATATTAATAACATATTAAAAATTTATTAATAAACAAAAATTTGAAAAAAAAATATTTTTTTTGGCCGGGACCGAAACCGGGACCGGATTCCTTAACCGGCTACCGGTAAGCTTGACCGGTTACAAGGTATTTCACCGGAACCGGGACCGGTTATGGCAGGACCGGTTACCGCCGGTTTTTGTCTTGATTAGGACCAGTAGGGACCGGTTAAGGACCGGCCCGGGACCGGATAAGGACCGGCCCAGGACAGGCCCAGTACCGGATTTTGGCCATCTCTACTTAGGATAGATAAAATAATACATTTTATTAAATGTATTAAATATTTTAATAGTATAACTGATGTTGTAATCTTCAAATAAAGAAACTGTTGATAATAACCAAGAACTCTGGAGATTGGTATTTCTTGTTATGATTATACATGTGATGTACAAGAAGTTTATTTTGGAATTTTTGAGTTGTAAATTTTGTATTATAATTTCTTGTACTAGTGAGACCAATATGGTGTAATTTGTATTTCTTTATATATGAAGTACATGTTTATATGCAAATGTGGAAATGAGATATTACATTATGATTGGTTGAATGAAGTTTGTACGGTTTGTACAAATAATGTGGTTTGCAAAGTAAACCTCCTCCCCTCCGCCCCCCTCTCTCTCTATACACACACACACACAAACGTGAAGGATCATGTGAGAAGGAGAAATAAGATGAACCGAGTACGTGTGAAACAAAATACAATAACATGTTGGCTTACTTTACGAATTGACAATTTCATACACATAGTCCCTTTCATTAATACACACATACACACGTGAAGGATCGTGTGAGAAGGAGAAATAAGATGAACCGAGTATATGTGAAACAAAATACCATAATGCGTTGACTTACTTTACGAGTTGACAATTTCATTCATACAGTCCCTTTCATTGAAGAATGATCAGCAACTTCTAAATTGATTCGGGTTACCGAGAATACTTGTATTTTAAACCCAAAAATAAGCATTCAATCAAATAAAACAGTGTGAATATCTATATTTATACTATATTACAAAATATTTGATAAAAACTCTTAAAAATCATTTTTTATACATGAAGTACTTTTTTATTGATGCACATTACTTAAAATTCAAAATTACAAGTAAATTGTGCGTAAGTACAACTTATTAAAGCTACATGTTTGAATTTGTGTAACTAACTACGGATAAACATAATTTTCATTTTAAAATATAAAAAATCTAAAATATATTTAAGATAATTATCGAGTTCTAACAGAATACTTAATTATTACCTTTATAAAAAATTATATTATTAAATTAAAATTATAAATTATT